TTGGGATGTTTTTGGCATTTCATAGATTTTTCTGGAATCCCTTGTACAAATTTAGCCAGCAATTTGTCCTTCATCTAAAATCATTAAGTATACCCTGAATTATTACTTCACAAATATTTCTGGTTCTCTTGAAAGGCTGTTGGAATTTTGAGAATCTAAATGCTAAATTATTACTTTGCCAATTTCCTGATTCTTTTTCCAGAAAATTATTAGAATTTCCAAATTCTCTCGGCTTCTTGGGACCTTTAGATCTTGAGTCATTTTGATGCAATTTTTTCTTTTAGGGACCCTAGAATCTCCAAATCCTGAGTTATTATTTTGTAAATTTTTTGGTTCTTCTCTGAGGAGGCTGTAAGGACTTTCGAGGTTCTGAATGCAGTCTCATTAATTTGCTAATTTCCTGATTCTTCTGGAAAAAGAATCTTAGATCCTTCAAATTTTACCAGCTCCTTGAGACTTTAAATTCTGAATCAATTTTTAGCAAATTTTCCATTTAGGAGAACTTCAGAAAGTCTCAAAGATCCTGAGTTCTGGGTCATGCAAATTTTTTAGTTCTATGAACAGACCTTAGAATCTTTAAATCCTGGGTAATTATTAATTTACAAATGTTTCTGATTCTTTTTGCAGAAAATTTATAGAATTCCCAAATCCTCTCAGCTCCACATAGGTCTTTACCCTTAGCCAAGAAAGTGCAGAAAAAGAATGGAGATTACCTATTGAGAAATTTTGATGTGGATATCCAAAGAACGTCAAATGAACAGAGACACAATTTATGTGGAAATTTGGAAAAATCTGAGGAAGTATGGGAAATTACATGGAACCTGAATGAAATCTGGCAACAATGCTACAATAGATCTTGTCATTCAGATCTCAACTATTAGGCAATTCAAAACACGTGACACTCAAGATGGCGTGGCGGCCAAAAAACACAAAAAAATATCTAGTTTCTGCCTGATTTAATAGTTTAGGTACCTAGTCAATAAATATTTTATTAAAGTAATCAAAATCAAAGTTGCAAGCAAAACTCTAGCAAAATAATTTAAAATACACATAAAAACATATTCAAAACAAACTTGCTTGGCCGCCACGCCATATTGAATTTTCCTCTTTGACAGATGGATTGGATTGCCTAATATATACCTAGATTATTTAGTGCAGTTACGTCCTAAAAAGGCAAAAAGCGTAAAAAACTAATAACAGCAAGAAAAGTGTTAAAAACATAGCGGAAACAATGGGAAAAATAAATTAAACTGAATCCGAGTTACGACGGTGATATGGGGTAAACTTTTAGGGGTGGATAATGGTTTTTCAAGATTTCCAGCAAAACTACATCTCCTATCGGAAAAAGTTGAATATAAAAGTTGTAGGTAATGAAAAAGTCTACAACTTTTGTATAAACCATTTTTTCACATAACCTAAAATTTTCAGAGAAAAACCGTACGTAATTTTTTCATTTCAAAATATTCATTTCTACATTTTATTTTGATTTTAAACTTAAAAAGTGGCCTCACTTTCACCCGAAAACGCCCATGTCTGGGAAAAAGTTTTCAGAAAACACAGTGGTCTTTTTTCTCGTTAAAGCCTAGTTCTCATGGAGCGGAAAATCGCGTTGCGGGTGCGGAATATCGCTTGCCGTTCGAGAAGTAATTTTTGCCAGTTCACATGAAGCGGATTTTTAGTTATATTTAAGGTATTTCACATTATATTTTACTGATTTTTATCAAATGTCGTACAGGTGAAAGTAAAGGTAAATAGTGACAGAGGATAAAAACTCGCGCAAAAATTAGAAATAGTTTATGTCCGATTGACCAATAAAGTACTATTTATTGAACAAAATTATTTTACTAGTAAAATAAAGTGCTACTTTATTGCCTACCTGGACTACCTGACAACCTGCCAAGGTGAAGCAGGTATACTGGAATTTTAATTTTTTCATATATGTATACTGTTAAACTGTTCAAATTAGACATTCACCTAAAACGTGTAGTTTTTGAACTAATGAGAAAAATTCTCTACTGAGTGAATCAGGTTAGTATTGTACTTGAACATATTAGTGGATAGATGACTCGATCCACCCATAAGTTCCGCAACAATCCACTCGTTTGTACTTGAATAACTTGTCAAAATATTACTAGTTTGGTAAAGTAACATTACTAATTCCTGTTGAAAGGCGAATTGACAAAAAGTGGATAATCTTATAAATTCTGACTTTATATAATTAGTTATTTTTCAACTATAAATAAGTATATTGTTGCGGAACTTATTAGTAGACCTCTGCGGGACGAGCGCAGCGAGTTCCGCAGCCATCTTATCACCAATATACTGTTGAACTGTTCAAGTAAGATATTCACCTGAAACGTGTAATTTTTAAACTAATAAGAATAACGCACATTTGAGTTTAGTATCGTAATTAAATAACATATTGATAAATAGATGGCTGCGGAACTCGCTGCGCTCGTCCCGCAGAGGTCCACCCATAAGTTCCGCAATAATTTACTCATTTGTACTTGAATAACTTATCACATTATGTTACTAGTTTGGTAAAGTAACATTACTAATTCCTGTTGAAAGGCGAATTGACAGAAAGTGGATAATCTTATAAATTCTGACTTTATATAATTAGTTATTTTTCAACTATAAATAAGTATATTGTTGCGGAACTTATTAGTAGACCTCTGCGGGACGAGCGCAGCGAGTTCCGCAGCCATCTTATCACCAATATACTGTTGAACTGTTCAAGTAAGATATTCACCTGAAACGTGTAATTTTTAAACTAATAAGAATAACGCACATTTGAATGAGTCAGTTTAGTATCGTAATTAAATAACATAATGATAAATAGATGGCTGCGGAACTCGCTGCGCTCGTCCCGCAGAGGTCCACCCATAAGTTCCGCAATAATTTACTCATTTGTACTTGAATAACTTATCACATTATGTTACTAGTTTGGTAAAGTAACATTACTAATTCCTGTTGAAAGGCGAATTGACAGAAAGTGGATAATCTTATAAATTCTGACTTTATATAATTAGTTATTTTTCAAGTACAAATAAGTGTATTGTTGCGGAACTTATGAGTGGACCTCTGCGGGATGAGCGCAGCGAGTTCCGCAGCCATCTTTTCACCAATATACTGTTGAACTGTTCAAATAAGACATTCACCTGAAACGTGTAATTTTTAAACTAATAAGAATAACGCACATTTGAATGAGTCAGTTTAGTATCGTAATTAAATAACATAATGATAAATAGATGGCTGCGGAACTCGCTGCGCTCGTCCCGCAGAGGTCCACCCATAAGTTCCGCAATAATTTACTCATTTGTACTTGAATAACTTATCACATTATGTTACTAGTTTGGTAAAGTAACATTACTAATTCCTGTTGAAAGGCGAATTGACAGAAAGTGGATAATCTTATAAATTCTGACTTCATATAATTAGTTATTTTTCAAGTACAAATAAGTGTATTGTTGCGGAACTTATGAGTGGACCTCTGCGGGACGAGCGCAGCGAGTTCCGCAGCCATCTTTTCACCAATATACTGTTGAACTGTTCAAATAAGACATTCACCTGAAACGTGTAATTTTTAAACTAATGAGAATAACGCACATTTGAATGAGTCAGTTTAGTATCGTAATTAAATAACATATTGATAATTAGATGGCTGCGGAACTCGCTGCGCTCGTCCCGCAGAGGTCCACCCATAAGTTCCGCAATAATTTACTCATTTGTACTTGAATTACTTATCACATTATGTTACTAGTTTGGTAAAGTAACATTACTTATTCCTGTTGAAAGGCAAATTGACAAAAATTGGATAATTTTACAGATTTTGACTTTATATAATAAGTTATTGTTCAAGTACGGGGTACCTATTTTTTTATATATTGATACCCCACCTACAGCCTTCACCTTTACAAGTAGATGAAAGGTGTAAATACAAAAGTTGTACAGTATTGGCTAAATTTTTAGAATCCATGGTCTGAAACAAAAATTGAATGTCAGAATTCTGAAATGTTGCATGCTTTCAGCTTTTTTTTTCAAATGGGATGCCCTATATTTGGTTCTATATTCTTGAAGAGCACAATTTCCCGATTCCAAAACTATATAATTTGTCTATATTTGGTTGAGACGTCTCCAACATATTTTTAATGGTTCTAAAAATTTTAAAAATACTAGGTATCAGAGAAACTAAGGCTGTGGTCCAAATATAACCGGGGTTGTGGTTTCGCGATCCAAAAGTAATCAAATTACTCTGGTTCCTGGAAAAGTGGTTACTTTTGGGCCTTGGTTTCCTGAAATCTGGTTCACCAAATGTCAAAATAGTTATCGGCTATCAAATGTCGGTTCTGTTGGTTTTATCTGTAAATTCTGTCAATTATTTTTTATTTCATATTTGTGTTCCCTAGGTAACCGGAATGTTCAGTAACCATCTGTCAACCGATTTGGTTACTTTGGTTAACGTTTGGTTATATTCGGACCATAGCCCAAGTTCCCTAAATTTTACCTGCAGCTTTCACCTGTATAGAGAGAATGGTTCACAAAATCAGTAGGTAGTAGGACAGAAGGATAGTATTTTTACAATTTTTGGAGCCGAATATATGAGAGACTATTCAATCAAAATAGACAAATTGTATATTTTTGGAATACAAAATTTCACATTTCTGACCATGGGTTCTAAAAATTCAGCCAAAACTGTACAACTTTTGTATATACACCTTTCTTTTACTTGTATAGGTAAAAGCTGTAGGTGGGGTGTCAATATATAAAAAAACATCCTGTACCTACCTATTTAAAATCACCTTATTCTCCTAAATAGTTCCCTCATTCCCATATTTTTAAAGGGCCATTCCTTCGAAAAACTGTATCTTGGACAATGCGTTGCCAAAACTAACCCAATCTGGCTTACTTTAACTTAAACTGCCCCCCTCCTTTCAAAATGCCTATATCCGCCATCCGCCCCTGCGAGAAATTTGAATTCAAATAAAACTGCAACAGAGTTTAGGAGTAAAATACTTTTTTTTTTAATATTTATATATACAGTTTGTACAGCTTACACATTTTACAAAAAAAGCTAAAAGGTTTTATAATTTACAATTTTAAAATTGTATGTACAATATGCACAAAATTCCTATTTAAAATAAATACTTCCAATAATAATCCTTGCAGGTACTTATATAATAAAACATTTACATATTTTGAAAAATTTAACACACACAAACATCTTGAATAAATAATAGCGTTTTCCATATACAATAGAAAGCGCCTTCAAATAATATTTTGGATAAAAATATTGTTCGTGTATGACAGCCATTTGAATTGGTTAACTCTATTTTTTGCAATAGAGTAAAACAGCTGTCAGTAATAATTATATGTACAAAAAAAAAAAAAAATGGGTAACTAGTTGCCCCTCAAATACAAATACAATAAAAACTTATACAAAGTCTAACATACAATTTACGTACAAACAAACAAAAAATATATAATAATAAAAATTACAATCACAGACGAGAAATATAAGTCTAAAAAAAAAACATTCAGTGGGTTAAATTCAAATTAATTCACGGGTGTATCACTGGGATAGTCCGCACAAAAAAAAAATATATAGTTTGTTTTTTTTATTTTTTTGACACTCGAGTCCATCAAATTGGATCACAGACGCTTGTTTCTGATAAATTTTTCTTTGATACGGAACATGTGGCAGTTTCCTATTTTATAGGAAAACTTGAAAAGCCCAGACTTTTTGGTCATCTCAGTATTGTAACAAGTGTTTATTAAAGAAAAGCCACTGAAATTGTTGGATGTTTATTCCTTTTATACATGTCATGAATCATTTTGACTCCCCAAGAATGTGTAGAAACTACAAGAGCTGCTTAGAGCATCAAAAGACTAGATCAATCTTGGATTAAAAATTACCACATGCTCCATTTGCAAAAAAGAAAAATTTACTACCGACAACCACAACTAGTCACGACCATTTCTTTGTAATTTTTCAGTACCACTTTATTGTCAACATCCATATAGAGCATCGATATCGAATTCAGTTCGGTCGGTACGCAGCAAGCTTTCGGTACGGTCATCGGAGACATCGAGTTCATCAACGTTTGAACGATAGCGTGATTGGTAGTATTCAAATGATCGGCCAAAGGAAATCGACATTCGCCTTGACAGTAGAAGGCGTCGTATCCAGGTGGTGCCACTATCCAGTCATTCCAGCCGACGTCTTCAAAATCTACGTACATTTTGTGACGCATGCAGTCTGAATGGTGATCGTCTTTTCTGCGGCCTCCTCTTCTTGCCGCGCGTTTGCTTCTCTGGACTCTTCTAGAAAGTTCTTTGATGTCTGGTGGAGAATTCTTTTTGTCGTCTGTGTAGGTGTAGAGAATTGGTTGATGGTTCATCCATGTTAGTTCATCATCGTTGAGACTTCGTCTTAATCTTACGTGATTACGTTTGGAATTGTCCAAAATTGTAATTATAATTCCGTGATTGTCTTTTGGGTTTTTGATCCAACGCTGGACAGCTTCAGTTAAGTCTAGCTTCAAGGTTGTGTTCTTTGTTGTGTCTACGTGTTTGCTTTCGATTACTCTTTTAATAGGGCCGTGTTTGCTTTTGATGCCAGGTTTCAAGATTTCTTCGACGACTATCCTCAAATACGGATCTTTGTTCGAGTGTTTCGGCAAAGAGATCCTCTTCAGAGCCAATTCAGCATGTTGAAACGCTTCTTCTTTTGGTATGGTTGGCTCGAACATTAGCCGGAACTTGTTGGAGGATTGAAATCGTCGGTCGATAGGACTTTCTGTAAGCAAAAAACATAAAAATTAATAAAAATTGACCTCTTTAAATTAACTTATAATAAAGCCAGCGTCATTACTTATTGTAAACAGTGTTTCGGAGTCAGCTGGTAGCGCGAGATCAACAAAAGATATACAAATTGGGTGTGGCTCTTGAAGGCTTGACCTGTTGATCATAAACACCTGATATCAGTGGCGGAACCACAATCGATTTGTTTCAGTGTTTTTCTTTTCCGAGCAAATCGTTAAGATGGTAATAATTCTTACCTGAATTCACTAATCCTCTTATTTGTTTATAGTAGGGCACATAATCCCCATGAAAAGGGATAATTACTTGAGGTTCTACGTAAAATATCTATTATCGCTTAGGAGATAATGAGCAAATAGAAAGTTGGGCCCTTAATTTAAGTCGCATTTAAAAACGCTACTGTTGTATGGAACTCGAAATAAAAAAATAACGAGATAGCTACCAGGCAGCGAAAGTAGGACGTACATATATTTATTTAAGCACATTATTATACAACCTACTGGTATTCATTATTTAATAAACACTTGCTTTTTCCCTTCGATAAAAAAAAAAAGAATACTGATTGATGATTATTAAGAACGAGAATGTTTGTGTGATTTCTTTTTGTACAATTTCATAACTGATTTATAAAAATCTTTGCATCACGATTTTTTGCTTTTGGTATAATGAGGACAGGTTAAGGTCTCGAGTTTTGGGTTCCTGTTTGTAGGTGATTCCCTGGTAGGGGGTGAATTGCTCCAGTAGGGCTTGTGGGTTGATAGCTGATCCCGAAACATTGTACGTTTTTAGAATGGATATATGCAGCACAAGTCTATCATGCAGTATTTACTTTACGTCGCACGTTGCATGTTGCACGTTTGGTGTTTCATTGGTGTACGACCGCACTTACTAATTAGTTCAATAATTCACTTATTTTCAAGTTAGAATTTTCAATAATTAGCTCAAAAACTTGCTCATTTTCAAGTCAGAATTTTTACTCATTCACCATTCTGTATTGTTAAATCACCAACCATTTTTCCAAAATCCAAATTGTATAATTTGCTCTCTGATACTGGTCTTTAAATAATCTTACAATTTCTGACTTTATATGATAAGTTATTGTTCAAGTACAAATAAGTGAATTATTGCGAAACTTATGGGTGGACCTCTGCGGGACGAGCGCAGCGAGTTCCGCAGCCATCTACTCACCAATATACTGTTGAACTGTTCAAATAAGACACTCACCTGAAACGTGTAGTTTTTAAACTAATGAGAATAACTCACATTTGAGTGAGTTAGGTTAATATCGTACTTAAACAACATATTGATGAATAGATGGCTGCGGAACTCGCTGCGCTCGTCCCGCAGAGGTCCAGCCATAAGTTCCGCAACAATCCTCTCATTTGTAATTGAATAACTTGTAACATTATGTTACTAGTTTGGTAAAGTAGATAACATTACTCATTTCTGTTAAAAGGCAAATTGACAAAAAGTGGATAATCTTACAAATTCTGACTTTACATAATAAGTTAATGTTCAAGTACAGGATGTTTTCTTATATAGGTATTGACACCCCATTTACAGCCTTTACCTTTACAGGTAGATGAAAGGTGTAAATACAAAAATTGTACAGTATTAGCTAAATTTTTAAAATCCATAGTCAGAAACAAAAGTTGAATGTCAGAAATGTGAAATGTTGCATGCTTTCAGGTTTTTTCAAATGCATGCCTTATATTTGGTTCTATATTCTTGGAGAGCACAATTTCCCAATTCCAAAACTATATAGTTTGTCTATATGTGGTTGAGCCGTCTCCAACATATTTGGTTCTAAAAATTTTAAAAATACTATCAGAGAAACCAAGTACTTCACCTGTACAGGTAGAATGGTTCACAAAATCAGTAGTAGGATAGTATTTTAACAATTTTTGGAGCCGAATTTATGAGAGACTGTTCAATCAAATATAAACAAACTATATATTTTTGGAATCGGGACATTATGCTCTTCAAGAATATACAATAAAATAAAGGGCATCCCATTTGAAAAAAGTTCGAGGCATGCAAAATTTCAGATTTCTGACATTTAAATTTTGTTACTGACCATGGTTTCTAAAAATTCAACCAAAACTTTACAACTTTTGTATTTACACCTTTATCCTACCTGTAAAGGTAAAGGCTGTAAGTGGGGTGTTGATATATAAAAAAACACCCTGTACAAATAAGTGGACCATTGCGGAACTTATGGGTGGACCTCTGCGGGACGAGCGCAGCGAGTTCCGCAGCCATCTACTCACCAATATACTGTTGAACTGTTCAAATAAGACATTCACCTGAAACGTAGTTTTTGAACTAATGAGAAAAATTCTCAACTGACTGAATCAGGTTAGTATTGTACTTGAACAACATATTGGTGAATAAATGGCTGGGTTGCCATCTGAAACGTGTAATTTTTAAACTAATGAGAATAACGTACATTTGAGTGAGTCAATTTAGCATCATAATTAAACAATATATTGCTGAATAGATGGCTGCGGAACTCGCTGCGCTCGTCCCGCAGAGGTCCACCCATAAGTTCCGCAACAATCCACTTCTTCAAGTACAAATAAGTGGATTGTTGCGGAACTTATGGGTGGACCTATCTATTTACCAATATACTGTTAAACTATTCAAATAAGATACTCACTTGAAACGTGTAGTTTTTGAACTAATGAGAATAACTGACATTTGAGTGAGTCAGGTTAGTATCGTACTTGAATAACATATTGGTGAATAGATGAATAGAGATAAAAGAAACAGAACGAATAAAGTAAAGAGGAGACGAGTGAAACTAATCTGACAAAAGGAAGTAGAAATTTTTGCCTGTGCAATTTTGTGATTCTTGAATCATTTGAAAACATTGAAAAAGAGCGAGGAAAATGAGCTGATGGGAAAAGAATAACAGCTGTGAGGAAAACCTGGAAATAGTAGATGATATTTGCACAAGGAGGAATTGCAAATGGGGGAAAAACTGGAAGAATAGACCGAGAAATTCCAAATTCTTTAGCTTTTCTATTACTTCCCAATTTGGGCCACCTTGACTGAGAAAAGGCAGGACAGGACAATTTTTGTCCATTCCAGGTTCGTGAAAAAAATTACTGGAGAAAACCAGGAAAGAACGAGAGGTATTTGACAAGGAGGAATTGGAAATGAGGGAGAAACTAGAATGATGAAAGACCAGGAAAATTATTGTTTCTAATCAAGTTCAATTCCAGATTCTTCAACTTTTCTATTTCTTCCCAGTTTGGACCATCTTAGTGGAGAAAAAGCAGGAAAATGTTCTTGCATTCCAGATTTGGGAAACCCGAGAATGATTACTGGTCTATTCCTGGTTTTTGAATTCAGAAAGTTTGATATTTTACTTATGGAACCTAGTTAACAATTGCATAAACCCATTTAAAATGTATTGCGGTCAAAATTTCAATTGATTGATAAATTAGAAGATTTTACACAATTTCCATCCAATAATCTTCAATTGTATTTTAGAATAGCCATTTGTATTTGAGAAAGAGAGCCTGCCCAAAGTATACAGGAATTGTGTTTATGTCAGAATTGGCTAAATTTTGTATGTAATGTAGATCACGTCTTTCTGATTGAAAGTTACCATTGCACCAATCCTGAAAAATTAGGTACTATACGTAGCACACCACTGTGCCACAAGCTTACCTATTTGTGTTACATTGTATGTACTTGAACAATAACTTATTATATAAAGTCAGAAATTGTAAGATTATCCACTTTTTGTCAATATATCTTTCAACAGGAATTATAGTAATGTTACTTCACCAAAATAGTAACATAATGTGATAAGTTATTTAAGTACAAACGAGTGGATTGTTGCGGAATTTCTGAGTGGACCTCTGCGGGACGAGCACAGCGAGTTCCGCAGCCATCTATTCATTAATCCGTTGTTCAAGTACGATACCAACCTGACTCACTCAAATGTCAGTTATTCTCATTAGTTCAAAAACTACGAGTTTCAGGCGAGTATCTTATTTGAATAGTTCAACAGTATATTGGAGAGTAGATGGCTGTGTAGATGAATGTCTTACTTGAATAGTTCAACAGTATATTGGTGAGTAGATGACTGGTAAATAGATGGCGAGGGGTCCACCCATAAGTTCCGCAATAATCCACTTATATGTACTTCAACAATAACTTATTATATAAAATCGAAATTTGTAAGATTATGATTATTCACTTTTTGTCAATTTGCCTTTCAACAGGAATTAGTAATGTTACTTTACCAAACTAGTAACATAATGTGACAAGTTATATTCAAGTACAAATGAGTGAATTATTGCGGAACTTATGGGTAGACCTCTGCGGGACGAGCGCAGCGAGTTCCGCAGCCATCCATTCATCACTATGTTGTTTAATTACGATACTAAACTGACTCACTCAAATGTGCGTTATTCTCATTAGTTTAAAAATTACACGTTTTAGGTGAGTGTCTTATTTGAACAGTTCAGCAGTATATTGGTGAGTAGATGGCTGCGGAACTCGCTGCGCTCGTCCCGCAGAGGTCCACCCATAAGTTCCGCAATAATCCACTTATATGTACTTGAACAATAACTTATTATATAAAATCGAAATTTGTAAGATTATGATTATTCACTTTTTGTCAATTTGCCTTTCAACAGGAATTATTAGTAATGTTACTTTATAAAACTAGAAACATAATGTGACAAGTTATTCAAGTACAAATGAGTAAATTATTGCGGAACTTATTGGTGGACCTCTGCGGGACGAGCGCAGCGAGTTCCGCAGCCATCTATTCATCAATATGTTGTTTAAGTACGATACTAAACTGACTCACTCAAATGTGCGTTATTCTTATTAGTTTAAAAATTACACGTTTTAGGTGAGTGTCTTATTTGAACAATTCAACAGTATATTGGTGAGTAGATGGCTGCGGAACTCGCTGCGCTCGTCCCGCAGAGGTCCACCCATAAGTTCCGCAATAATCCACTTATTTGTATGTACGTTCATTACAATGTCCAAGCGTTTTACTATTGCTACCTATGAAATTAATTTTCTCAAAAAGGAATCATTTTTCAGGATTGGTGCAATGGTAACTTTTAATCAGGAAGGCCTAATCTACATTATATACAAAATTCAGCCAATTCTGAATTAAACACAATCTCCGTATACTTTGCGCAGGGTCCTTTATTCCATATTCATGTAGGGATTTCTTAAATACAAATTACTAGGTATTCTAAAATACAATGAAAGCTTTCTAAAATAATGTTGGAAATGATGTAGTGCGAAGTTCAACTGAACCAGGATTTTACCTTAAATGTTCTAGATCTTATGAATGTTTTGTAGAATGTTCGAGGAAGGTCTTGTAGAGAGCGTTCAGAAAACGGTACATTTGTACCAAACTCCTCACGGGGAACGTTCCGCAAATGTTTTGAAACGTTGTAGGATGTTCAATGAACTGATTCTAAGTACGTTTTTAAAACTGAGTTGTGTTTGTTAGGCACTGAACAAATATTTGAATTTAAAATATTATTTATGGGTCTTAATGTTAACTTTGAATGTTTGGTAGACGTACCCTTTAGAACAGGAACGTTCCCCACCTTAGGGCACCCAAATAGGACGATCCTGGGACAAAGTGTGTTTACTGGGTTATTTCAGATTTGTGAAAGCTGGAAAAATAGATTCGTCGGGTAAAAAGAGCAGAATAGAAAAAGTAAAGAGGAAAAGACCAAACTGACAAAAGTGAGGAGCCTGTTGAGAAAAGAGTAAAGAAAGGGTGGGCAATTTTGTCTTTGCTGTAGATATTTTTGATAGGAAGGAATTGTAAATGACGGAGGAACTAGAAGGAACATTCTTGTCTCCGACTATGCTCAAGAGCTGAAAGAATACCCAACCAAATACCGAAAAGAAAATACTTAAAATTGCATGTAAATAGAATAATGAATGTCGAAGAAAAAAAAATTAGAAGACCCTATTCAGCAACAATTTACTTTTTACAACGAAGTAATAGAACTATTTTTTAAAATCCCATAAAGCAACTTTACTTGTTAGCTGTTTCTACAGCAGAATAGTGTGTTCATTGAACCTCCAATAAGGTTCCTTGTCTCATTGGCTGTGCATTTTTGTTCACATGGGGAATCCCCATTGACCTGAATTATTATGCTACACAGGGTGAGATCAACACAGTCAAGCCTCAATATAATAAATTGACAGTACCTACCGACATGTACAAAACTCCGTACCGTATTGGCACTAGTAAGATACGGCGCCCTTTTTGGTATATTCGAAGTGGCGAACTTCATTCCACTTTGCATCTCGTATAGTCTTATCATCTCTTCGGGAACAACCATTTTACTTCTGTCCACCTAATAAAACAAACAATAATAAGTATTAAGTTAATTGTAAGTCAACAAGTGTTTGTTACCTTTTGTGGTCGTCCTTTGAATCCAAAAAGCGACAATAAATTCGATTCGATTTCTTTGATGTGCTCTTTGGGATAGCTATCGGCGCCTGACGCTATACAGCAACACTCTAGGATGGCCAGCCACGCTAGCCAACAGCTATTGCCGAATTTCATTATAGGACAATCTGGAACCAAAAGAAACGATTTATAAATAAAAAAAGCTTTGTAAAAATTCCATTCAAAGTACATAGATATTATTACGAATAACACAATAACAATTATTCATATGCAAATTTTTTTTATATGGGTTTCTATTTATTATCGCCATTATAGAAAATTATTAATCAAATAGAGGTGTAATAATTGTGCCTTGAACTTTACTCCTTTAAAGCGCGCGCCTTTTCGTAAACAATGACGATATATAAGGTTTTAAGTGCAATTATTAATTATTATTATTGTTATTGTTTTTATTGCTCAATTTTGTTTCCTTGTTAGATGAATCTGGGACCTGATTGGTTTTATGGGTGGCTTATTAAAATTTCATTGGGGATTTTTCGCATTACTGTCACGCGCCCGGAGAATGTTCATGGGCACACCGGATTGATATGGTCAATGGTATTTTTAAGAGATTTTTTCAAATGGCGCTCGACTTCCTCAATATTTGCCCATTGGAATTTGTGATTGATGGCGCCTTCCAGGCTGAAACTTTGAGAAATTATAGTATACACAATAATCCATTGATTATTCATATACAAGAGAATATCCTTTTACTACAAGTACTAATGCTCTCAAGCCTCATTATTTCTTCGCAGATGTAGAAATGAAAAATGCAGAAGCCAATAAAAACGGATCGAAAGAATGCTGTATTTGCATCAAATCTGAATACCAAATAACACAAGCGTGTTCATTATAAAAAAAAAAAAAAAACGAGCTGTGGCCGCGCTGCGTGTACAGCCAGAGCATACAGAGACTAGCTGAAATGGATACCGGGCGAACCGGTCTTCGCTTAGCTGTATATTTCAATTTCAACATTATTATGTACTCTCTACGTCACTCTGATTTATTTATTGTATCGAAAACTACGTAGAATTGATAGTCAATTGTGATTTAATTATCGAATAAGAGTAATTATGTTAGATTAGAAAAATCGAAGTCGAATCGCAGATGTTGGACCAAAAAAACATTTGCCAAAGCAACTCTCTTTAGTTATCGCTCATTTGGGTCTTTCCAAAAAAGTGGAGAGAAATATGTATTAGATTTTCTTGGTGGAAAATGGCCCTTACGAATGCCATTTGGGCTTAAGAACGCCCCAGCCACTCTCCAAAGGATTATTGACAGTATGATATTATTATTATTATTATTATTATGTGTTTCAGTAGTAGGCGGATTTCAAATCTGGTGAGACTACTGAGTCTGTTGTACTACGTGTGTCACTGGTTAGTATTTTCAATAATCACATTTTAATTGGTCATGCAGAGTCATGCACAAACATATTGTTCCCGTCAAGGCGATTTTTGAATTGGTTCTTGGTTGTTGATTTTATGGCGTCGCTACTTGAATAATTCCAATGATACACTACCCTGTTGGACAAGAAGTTTCGTCTAAGCAATTTATTGCACTTTTCTTTGGATAGCTTTTGTGACAAAATTCTCATACATCGTTTCTGAGATCTTTACAAATTTATTTCTTTTGATAACTGACTTTAGTCTTTAAATCCAGAACAGTCACAGTGACTACATTTTCTTGGTGTTTTCATGAGAAGACTCTGAAATCTTTAGTTTTTGAATCCTCTAAGTTGTTATCGCTAGGTATATGGAAACTACCAACTTTTATATATAAAAACTCATAGAATCATCAGATCCTGAACTCTGGAAACTTTGTCAAACGTTTTTTACCAGAAGTCTTTAGAATCTTTGGATCTTGTAGTTTTTGAACTAATAAGAAAAACTCACAACTGAGAGAATCAAGTTAGTATAAGTACTTGAACAGCATATTGGTGAATAGATGGCTGCGGAACTCGCTGCGCTCGTCCCGCAGAGGTCCACCCATAAGTTCCGCAACAATCCACTCGTTTGTGCTTGAATAATTTGACCCATTATATTACTAGTTTGGTGAAGTAACAGAAATATGTATTATATTTTCGTGGTGTTAGTGCCAAAACAATAACAGACGGACACCCTAAATTAGGAAAATACCAACATTTTACTACATTGAAATTGGCCCAGATGATACAGATGAATAAGGATGACATAGGGAAAACCGCATTCAATACGGAAAATGGCCCTTACGAATGCCATTTGGGCTTAAGAACGCCCCAGCCACTCTCCAAAGGATTATTGACAGTATGATATTATTATTATTATGTGTTTCAGTAGTAGGCGGATTCCAAATCCGATGAGACTACTGAGTCTGTTGTACTACGTGTGTCACTGGTTAGTCTTCGTCTTCGATATCTTTATCAAGGCGATTTTTGAATTGGTTCTTGGTTGTTGAGTTTACGGTGTCGCTACTTGAAGAATTCCAATGATACACTACCCTGTTGGACAAGAAGTTTCGTCTAAACAATTTATTGCGCTTTTCTTTGGATAGCTTTTGTGACAAAATTCTCATACATCGTGTCTGAGATTTTTACAAATTTATTTCTTTTGATAACTGACTTTAGTCTTTAAATCCAGAACAGTCACAGTGACTCTACATTTTCTAGGTATTTTCATGAGAAGACACTGAAATCATTAGTTTTTGAATCCTCTAAGTTGTTATCGCTAGGTAGGTATATGGAAACTACCAACTCTTATAATATAAAAACTCATAGAATCATCAGATCCTGAACTCTGGAAACTTTGCCAATTGCTGCGTTTTTTCCAGAAGTCCCTAGAATCTTTGGATCTTGAATCAGAAAATACTTGAATGGTTTTGTGATAAAGTCTCGAGATTCTTCGAATCTTTAATCCTGAATCATCAATTCCTGCATAAGTAAACTCATAAAATCTTTAAATCCTGATGAAGACTGGAAATTTTGCAATCTTTTTCAAGAGTCTAGAATCTTTAGATTTAAAGTCCAGAGTTCTGCAAATCTTTTGGTGTTTTTATGGAAAGACTTTAGAATAACATATTCTAAAGCCTGAGTTATCACTGCAAATTTTCTTTTTCTCCTATATCCAGATCATGAAGTCTGAAAACTTTGCAATAGATGGCTGCGGAACTCGCTGCGCTCGTCCCGCAGAGGTCCACCCATAACTTCCGCAACAATCCACTCGTTTGTACTTGAATACTTTGTCACATTATGTTACTAGTTTAGTAAAGTAACATTATTAATTCCTGATGAAAGGCAAATTAACAAAAATGAATAATCTTACAAATTTTGACTTTATATGATAAGTTATTGTTCAAGTACAAATAAGTGGATTATTGCGGAACTTATGGGTGGACCTCTGCGGGACGAGCGCAGCGAGTTCCGCAACCATATACTCACCAATATAATGTTGAACTATTCAAGTAAGACATTCATCTAAATATAGTTTTTGAACTAATAAGAAAAACTCACAACTGAGAGAATCAAGTTAGTATGTACTTGAACAACATATTGGTGAATAGATGGCGAGAGGTTCACCCATAAGTTCCGCAACAATCCACTCGTTTGTACTTGAATAATTTGACACATTATATTACTAGTTAGGTGAAGTAACAGAAATATGTATTAGATTTTCGTGGTGTTAGTGCCAAAACAATAACAGACGGACACCCCAAATTAGGAAAATACCAACATTTTACTACATTAAACTTGGCCCAGATGATACAGATGAATAAGGATGACATAGAGAAAACCGCATTTAATACGAATGCCATTTGGGCTTAAGAATGCCCCAGCCACTCTCCAAAGGATTATTGACAGTATGATATTATTATTATGTGTTTCAGTGGTAGGCGGATTCCAAATCCGATGAGACTACTGAGTCTGTTGTACTACGTGTGTCACTGGTTAGTATTTTCAATAATCACATTTTGATTGGTCATGCAGAGTAATGCTCAAACATATTGTTCCAGTCTTCGATATCTTTATCAGTTGTTGAGTTTACGGTGTCACTACCCTGTTGGACAAGAAGTTTCGTCGTGTATCCATTTCAGGGCTGCCGTCACTGTGATTCCAAGGTCTTTCTATTTTGCAACAGTTGCTATTGGTGTTTGTTGTAGAAAATAGCTATGACTTGGGTTATTCTGATTCATCAGATTCTATACTTCGGGAACTTTGCTGCATTTCTTACCAGAAGTCTCTCGAATCTTTGGATCTTGAATCCGGAGTCGTAATTCTGCGAATTCCAAGATAATCTTGTGAGAAGACTCAAGATTCTTTGAATCTTGAATCCTGAATCATCAATCTGCAGTTTTTTTGGTTCTTGCATCAGCAAACTCATAAAATCTTTAGATGCTGATGTATGAGAACTTTACAAATGTATTATTTCTTTTATGATAACACTGAGTTTCAGTAGTAACTTTGCAAATTTCTTGGTGTTTTTATGAGAAGATTCTGAAATCTTTAGATTTTGAATCCTCTAAGTTATCACTCATAAGTCTTTGGAATCCGGGGTCGTAAATCAGAAAATCTCTAAATGGTTTCGTGACTAGACTCGTAGATCGTGAAGTCTGGGAACTTTTTTTCAAGAGTCTTGAATCTTCAGATCATAAATCCGAAGTCATAATTTGCAAACTTTTTGGTGTTTTCGAAAAAAACTTTAGAATTTTATATTTTGAAGGTCATCTGCAAATTTTTTTGTTCTCCTATCCTCTGATTCTGATGTAACAAAATTCTCATACATCATGTCTGATGAGAACTTTGCAAATTTATTTCTTTTATGATTAAAGTGACTTTAGATTTTGAATCCAGAACAGTCACAGTCACAGTCACTCTACATTTTCTTCTCATAAAGACTATGAAATTTTTAGATTTTGAATCCTCTACTAAGTTATCACTAGGTATAGATAAAAACTTCCAGCTCTTACATAGAAAAACTCATAGAATTATCAGATCCTGAAGTCTGGGAACTTTGCCAATTCCTGAGTTTCTTACCAGCAACTGGATTCCGTGCAGTGTCGAATTCTAAACCGACATGTCGCGCTCGATTATTTCGTATTCCGAGTACCGTTTTCTACACGATTTCCCCTTATATTAAATGTAGAATTCGACATA